TGTGTGTGTGTGTGTGTGTGTGTGTGTGTGTGTGTGTGTGTGTGTGTCTTTCCCTTCAACAGCATAAGATAGACGGCCACTCACTGGGGATACTGTTGAAGGGATTTTTGTTTAGATACAGGTTGCACTAGATGAGCCCTGAAGTCTCATCCAATTCTGAAATTACATGAGACCTGAAGTCTTTATGCCATTGTTTAACTTTCCTATATATAAACTGGTAATATGGTTATTTGTGTATGTGTCTCTTACTAGACTGCAAACTTCTTGAGGGCAAGAGTTGTGTGCTTTTTCAAACTTTCATTACTGCCCGTCACCCACCCAGCTATGGATACAGTGTTTTCACACATAGTAGTTACTTAAAAAATACTTGTTGAATTGAAATGTAAAGTCACCTTACTTAAATCCAACTTCCTCGTTTTACAGATAAGGAAACTGAGGCCAAGAGGAAATAATTTTCCATTGGTCAGAAATTATTTGATTTTTCAAAGCAAATCATATGATAGTAGTTACCTCAGAGTCTCCAATATTAACACTAGTATTAGGTTTGCTTTATCCTTCCAATGGCCTTTTCTCAGACTTCTTAACCTTTCTATAGCATTTGATACTGTTGACAACCCCCTCCTTCTTGACAACTTCCCTCTCAGTTTCAATGACACTGCTCTCCCCTGGTTCTCCAATTTCATATCTGCCTACTCCTCAATCCCCAATAGTTCAGCATCTTTACCCCAAACCCTGGATGTGGGTGTTCTTCCCCAAGATTTTGTCCTTAGTCTTCTTGTCTGTCAGAGTAACCTTGCTGACAAATGTCTAACTTTGTTAACTCTCTTATTACATTTTTCTAGACTATAGCACAGAGTGTACATGTGGTAGTATGAATGGCTAAGAACAGTCTGGGGGAGAAACAAGACCCATGGTCTGGTTAAGGAGTATACCTAAAATGTAAAGAAGATGTAAGTGAGAAGTGATAAGGAAGGACCCTAAGATAATACGGCAGAAACAGGCCTTTCAAACGACAGGGGTTTGAATCATGGCTGCTGAGCAGTCACTTCACCTCTCCAGGGCACAGTTTCTTCATTTGTAAAATAAGGGGTCTGGATTGGACAATTTGCAGTCCCTTCCAGCTCTGGTGTATGAGCATATATGGTCTTTCCGTGGTCCATGGTCTTTCCTTGAGTGTCATTCATTCCACTTGGGGTGGGACAGGGGAGCATAAGGGCAGAATGCCAAGAGAGAATCCAACGAGGAGGTGCATCATCCAATTAGGTGAACTGGATTGAGAAACATTTGGAATCCAACACACTAAGAACACACACATGGCTGCACAGGCAAGCAGTGAGTTAACACTCTTGCTCAAGGCCTGTTATGAGCCAAGTGCTTCTCTGACCATCTTGTCCACATACAACTGATAAACATCAGCTGATGCTGACTGCAATTGTACATGAAATACAGGATGAAATGAGCTGAAGAAAAATAATGGATGAAATGAAAAAAAAAATCAATCACCCAGAATGACATGTCAATTGCAAAAGTTTTGGAAGATTTGTTCCAAAATGCAGTAAATGAGTTTTAAGTTAATTACTTTGTAAAACTTTCTTGACTTTACCACTACTTGTCTCAAACAAGATTATAAATTTATTGATTGACATGCTAGCATATATTCAGGATGAGTACAGAGCTAAAAACCATGTCATGTAAGGAATAGTTAAAGAAATTTGGAATATTTTGTCTGGATAAGAAAAGCCTTTAGGGGAGTGGGGGAGGGGTGACAATTGCAATCTTCAGATATTTCCAGTACTGGCTTGTGAAGGACTGGCAGATTTATTTTGCTTGGCTCTAGAAAGCAGAACTAGGACTAATGGTTAAAAGTTACAGGGAGGCAGAATTTGGCATAACAGAATAAAGCATTTCCTGACATTTAGAACCATCTCAAAATGGAATCAGCTCCCTCAGGAACAAGTGAACTCCTGTCAGTGGAGGTCTTCAAGGAGAACCTGGATGAGCATTTGTCAGATATGTTTCTAGAAATGATTCATACACTATATGGGAACTGGACTAGATGATCTTTTCAGTGTCTTACAACTTTGGAACGCTGTGATTTTATGGTATCCTTAGCATAACCTCAATTAAGGATCACCCAGGCATGAAGGACCTTTCTCTAGGTCTTTTAATATTTGGGCATGTCGGTGGCTAATTCAGTCTTACCCATTTCCTCTACAGGTCATACGACTGAATTCATATTAAGCACCTACTACGTACCAGGCATTGTGCTAAGTGCTGGGGATACAAAAAGAGGTCATACATGTCTTTGGTGATACCTTTTACTTCAGGCCAGTTGTCATTAGCAATACATCATAGCCTACTTGTAGTATACCCACAATTCATCTTTCTACTGTACTTTGTGTCATCTACAATTCTGATTCTTATGAGATCATGGTGTTCCATGATTCACAGGGATATACCATCACTGAGAGAATATTGATAGGTTATGAGAATGCACCTTGGCAGCAGCAAGGAGCCTGTGATCCAAATGTAAAAGGGAAATACATGACTCACTTTTAGAAAGTAAATAAAATTCTTTCACATAGAGTTTATGAAGTAAATCATGTTTTCAATGCAATAAATACTAAACTAATGCATAAAACAGACAAGTTATGCTTCCCCCAAAACAAAGCTTTATCCCTTGATAGATTGGGTCCATCAAGTTTGATCAATTTTTTAATCCAACACACTGACTTTAATTGGGGTCACTCAGTTCCTGTGGAGCATCCTGATTCCACATGAAGCACAATCTTTACTACAAATCCAGATGAGACAAAACTTATTTAGTCAGTGCAAAGATTCAGGATTAAATGATCAAATTCATCTGAGGCCAAGGTTTTGACTCAATATATTAACTTCCTTCCAACTCTATCCAGAGAGATGATGCCTTTTTTTGCAACAGCAAACAATTCTTAAAAAAATGAGTTTTACTTGAAATGTTTCCCTCAGAAACATCTTTACAAAATGAGGGTAACTCACAGGACAAACAAATGATTCCAACTTATTTACTAGACATACAATACTCAAAAGGCTTCGTTTGCTGAATTTGGGGAAAGATAGCATACCAAGGCATATCTGTGTTATGATCTATCAAATTAATGAAGACCTAAATGTTATAATAGGTGACAGTTCTTTAAAAATAATGTGGATGTTACTCTCTGTTTTATATAAATTCCCATTGTTTTATAAGATTACCAGATATCAGCACAGGCCCTGGAGTCAAGAGGATCTGAGTCCAAATCCAGCCTCAGACATTTACTGTGTGACCTTGGGCATGTCACGTAACCCTGACTGCCTCCCCCCAAAAATTACCATATACTAACACTGATGGAAACATTAGTTAATACATACTTGTTGGTATCTTCTAGTGAGTTTTGAGTTTCCTTAGATTATTAGTACTTTGAGAAAAGAGATAAAAATAACTAATAATAACACATTTTTCTTTATAAATAGACAAAGCATGCATATGTCGATGTATCAGTCATATTTACATAGTGCTTTAAGGCTTATGAAGCCCTTTCCCTCACAACCACCCAGTGAAGTAGGTAGTACAAATGTTCTTGTAACCATTTAATAGATGTAAAAACGGAGGCTTAATGACTTTCCCAGAGTCACAGAGCTAATAAGATTTGTAAATAGTATTTAAATCGTGGTTGATATTGACTCCAAGTCCAACTTGAAGACTAAATACTTGCCAAGAAAATTGAAGCAATTATATAGTAGTCAGTAGAAAAGTTCTATCAACTGAAGAATTCTATGTGGTGAAAATCTAACCCTCCTCACAACTCTGATGTGCAAATAAATTCTATAATCTCCTACCTTAACATTTTCTTAAAATGAGGATTGTTTGGAAATTATGGACCTCACAATTAAGATGGCTATTTTGTTTTGGGTTTTTAAAGGTTGTGTCAAATTTTTAAAAAGTTCTTTTCTAAAAGTGCTCCAAGTTTTCCTATTTTTTGAGTATGCTTTTCTTCTCACAGATGTTTCATTTTCAGTCATGCACAATTCTGTATGACTGAGTCTGTGCAAACCTTCATGACTGACAATTTGTGTCTGGTTGATTATCTACCATGTCCTCTTCCAGATGTCAGGGAGAATACTGCAAAACAATGAATGTTAGCCAATGAACTGATAACAATGACTGGCTTCACTGCTTCAACAATTTAATCCTAGGCCCTCCGCACTCTATCCTTATTTCACATTATTCCCTTTTCATAACAGGCAAAGTTTGCTGTGTTTGTGAGTGTGCACATCTTTTTTTTTTTTAATGAGGCAAGTGGGGTTAAGTGACTTGCCTAGGGTCACACAGCTAGCAAGTGTCAAGTATCTGAGGCCGGATTTGAACTCAGGTCCTCTTGACATCAGGGCCAGTGCTCTATCCACTGCGTCACCGAGCTGCCACTGAGTTTACACATCTTTGAAATGTGCAGTAAACATGAGAGGACGGGAGAACAACGTTGAGATTCCATGTTATATTCTCCCCATGATCCCCAGGACACATTGATACATCCCACAAGAAGTTTCATACCATCTAGATTACGCCATTAGCTTCAGCTGATCTCCCTGCTTCTCCAGTCTATCCTGTACCTGTCACCAAACTCATCTTCCTGAGTGATCAAATCAATTCTCTTCAAAGCTTTCAATGGCAGGATAAAGCCCAAACTCTTTAGGATAAAACCCCAATCCTTAGTGATCCCCCAATTTATTCATTTAGAGATACATAGATGACCAGAAGGGCAGCCTGAGTAAGAGCTAGCGGTGAAATAAACTTGGGGTGCCTCTACATTCTGAGGAGTTAAAATTGCTTAATCTGAGAGACCCAGTTAATTTTTGAGCAGGCGTTTGACCAAGAAAGAATGATTAACTATCATTAGCAAAGGAAAATCCTATGGCCAAATAAAGTATATTTTGTCATGTAATATTCTAATGTTTTCAGTATTTAAAAAATATGGACTTGCTGGGTAGTTCACCACTGGCTTGGTTCGAATCCCCATGACATATTAAAAAGGAAATAACAAGTGAATAATAATAACGCCTACTTCTATAGCAATTTAAAGTTTACAAAGTGCTTTTCTTCCAACAGTTCTATGGGGCAAATAGTATATCCCTTTTAGAGTAGGAAATTGGGCTCTAGAGAGGATAAGGGATATCTAAGGTTATATAGCTCATAAGACTCTGAGACAAATTCAAACTCAGATCTTCTGATTCCAAGTCCAGAACTTTTTTCAATAAAATGCAAAGTTTTCATGAAATAAAACCCTATGTTCTGAATCATGCCCTAAATTAAGTAATCTACAATTATTTTCTTGGTATTTAAAATGCACAGTGAATTTTATGATTGTGACAATGTATGATAAATTATAAGATTTAATTACTATAAGAGAATAGTAATTAATTCTCTTAAAAATAAGAGAAAATAGTTACCTGAAGAATCCATGCAATCTTCAACTCTGGATATCTTAAATTTCTGGCCAAGAACATCTTTAAAATCTTCAAGGAAATTTACAGATTCCAGTGGACTTTCAATATGAGTTTTATCTGATAAATATTAAACATATTTATTGAAAGAATGGAACACAAAAATTAAGAATATGTAGTCTAACTGAATGAATGTTGACTCTAATAAGCTGTGCTCTTTCTATAATCAATATCCATTCAGAGTTATCACTTTAAAAGTCACTTATGATCATACTAAATCATATAACCACAGAATTTTAGAATTAGAAGGGATTTCAGAAGTCATCTAGTCCAATCCCTGACTTTCTGGATGGGGAAACTGAGGCACAAAGTGGCTAGGCAGCTTGCCTAGCAGCAGGGCTGGGACTAGAACCTTGGTCTCAACTCCCAGTCTAGTGCTCTTTCCACATCAGCATTCAGCAACTCCTGACTTCCAGGACCCCAAGACCTAGGCACATTCAAGGGAAGGAAAAAGAGTTGGCTCAGAAGGTACCATCAGCGACTGGGTGACCCCGTTATAACTGCCTTCCTTACCTGTTGAAACATTACCTGCCTGAGACTCAAGCAATTCACAGCATCACACAATACATAAGACTTTCTCCAGGCACTCAAACAACACAGAGTGACACAAAAACAGACTTGCAGAAAAAGCTGCCCACGTCCCAGACTCCAGGGCTGCCCTGCTGGGCCGCCAGGAGCCTTCACCTGGCTCCCAACACGCTTCACTCAAGGGACCCAGCACAGTGCCAGCCAGCGCTAGGCTGGGAACACCCGGCCAGAAGCGGCCCTGCCCTGCCTTTGTCTGCTTCCGGGCGGACGGCTTCAGGGGGACAGGAGTCCGGCGTCCCCGTCCTCATCAGGGCTCTCACTCTCACACCAAACGCGGCCCACCGGCCCCCACGAGCAGCCGCTTCTCTTCTCTGACTGGGGTAACACTCCACAGCGCCACACTGCCTCTCTCAATTTACACCTCTTAAAGCAGTGGTTCTCAAACCTTTTGGTCTCAGAACCCCTTTACACATTTAAGAATTACTGAGAACTCAAAAAAAGGCTTTGGTTTATGTGGGTTACATCTGGTAGAGTGCTAGAGTCAGTTCATGCTGGCTCACAAGAGCTGAGTAGTAAATTTTCAGTGAGAGCATTTATGCCTTGGATATTGGCAAAGACTATAAATCTGGCGTGTGTTTATTGTTTTGTTGATTGTCTGGACTTGAAAAAGTGATGGAGAAAATGTTAATAATGCAGGTTAAACTTAAGAGTGTTTCATTTTCAGAGAACCAGTTATTAAACACGTACCAGCATAACACTGGTTATAGTTGTTGATACTTAGCATTTTAGAAATTAAAACTGATAAAATGTAAAAATATTTATTTATTAATTCATTTCAAAGTAACAGTAAGTCTACTACACATTAACAAAAACAGCATAATTTTAGGAAAAATAAACTATACTTTCCAAAACAAAAAAAATTTGTTAGTTATTTTACATATCTGGCTTAATAAAAGATAGCTGTATTCTTATATTTGTTTTCTGCATTCAATCCATTGTAATATGCTGTTTTGGTTGAAGTATTTGAAGAAAATCTAGCCTCACACAGACATGTAGTGGGAAAAGGGAAGAACATTTTAATTGACAAATAATATCTTAGTATCATTATTATTATTTGCAATCAGGGTGAAGTGACTTGCTCAGGTTACACAGCTATTGAGTGTCTGAGGCCAGATTTGAACCCAGGCCCTCTGCTGTGCCACTTAGTATCATTACAAACACAGGTTTAACCTCAGGAAATCCCAGGGTCTACAAACCACATTTGGAGAATCAGTGTCTTAAATATATAATATTCTCTCAGATATAAGGCACATTTTAAAAAAACAAATAAAAAGAAAATGCTCTTATACATGCTACAAGATTAATGTTTCTTTGAACAAGATACCCCACAACGTGCTATCCCATTAAAAACACTAACCTTGATGTCTGTCTGTAATGTAGTTCAGTAAATAGTTGCTGGTCTGCTGAAGCAGGATATTGTTATCTCCTTCATAGGTACAGTTTGGATCATTGTCATTTCTAATATCACCCAAACGATTCACTGCAATGAAACCACGGTTTCAAAGCCTTATATGTATCAGATACGTAGTACAATAAAGATGATTATAAATGATAATTCAAGAGCCCAAAATTCTAATTTCAGCATAACGAGTAAAGCATAGAATGTTAAAGATGGAAGAAATTATATGAAATTATCCATCTTAGCCTCTCAACTAACAGAAGTACCTATTGTTTTCATCAAGAAATAGCATTCCTAGGAAGGGATTCCACAGATTCCTAGAAGGGGTAAGAAATAAGAAATGGAGTGGGAGGAAAATAGCATATCTTGGAAAGGGACATTATAAACCAAATAATATCACTGAAATAGAAAAATGGATGTGGTAGAGAGAAGTAGGAAAGATTAGGGCCTGAACTTTTATCTGGGGTTGGAAAGTAAGGGTTTAAACAAATTAAAAAGATAGTGAATAACAAAATCTACAGAAGAAATTTAGGATTGGGCAAAGTAATGGGAGAAAAGGAGATCTATAGGCAGAAAATTGGTTTTAGATTTGTATAAGCAAAACAAATGGAAGAGACTAAATGTTGGCTTTTAAAAAAGTAAATAAATTTTAAGGAAATATAATCTATACCTAGACGAAAAAACATAATAAAGAGTTAACTGAAGACAACATAAACGTAATTCCAACAACAAATGTAATGGATTAAACTCCCCAATAAAAATTAATAAAATACAAGGATGTCAAAGGGAACAGAACCCAAAAATCTGATACAAACAAAAATTTAAAACACATAGACATATAGAGAAAAGGAAGGGATGGAGCAAAATCTATTATGCTTTAGGTCTAGAGTTCTTAACTTGGTATTCATGAATTTATTTTTAAAAAATTCTGATAACTATATTTCAGTATAATTAGTTTCTTTTTAATCCTATGTATTTTATGCATTTATAAACTATTAATTCTACCAAGTCCACAGGCTTCACAAGACTGCCAAAGAAGTTTGTGAAAAACTAATGAATTAAGAACCCCTGCTTTAGGTGATTCTAAAAATGCAGAAGTTGTCACCATAATTTCAGAATACAATAATAAAAACTGATAATCAAGACAGATAAACAAGAACACTGCATTATGCTTAAAGGCAAAATAGGCAATGAAATCACACACACACACACACACACACACACACACACACACACACACACAGTTTGTGCACCCAAAGGCATAGTGGCTAAGTTCTTTAAAAGAAAAACAAGATGAACTGCAAGAAGACACCATAATAATGCAATAATAGTAGGTGAATTTAATAGTTGTCTCTCAGACCTAGATAAATACAATACAAGGTTTTGTTTTTTTTTAAAAAAAGAAAATGCAAAATTAATATTATTGTTGGATGAACTAGATTGGATTGTCCTATGGTGACTCCTTATTGGGAATATTAAATGTGCACATTTCTTAAGATTTCAAGGTACCATTAGAAAAACTGATCATACATTAGGGTATAAAGGCATCACAAACAAATGTAAAAAGGCAGACATAATACAGTTTTTTTTTTACAGACCATAATAAAATAAAAATAGTAAATAAGAAGGAAAGACGATATAGACTCAGAGCTTAAATAATAACATCCTAAATAATGACTGGGTTTTAAGAATAAATCATAGAAACAATGAGTTATTATGAGTGATAGTAACAATAAATAGTATGTCTAAATGCTTGGGATGCAACTAATGAAATCCTCAGGAAAAAGTTATATCTCTAAAAACATGTTAAGAAAATTTGAAAAAGAAAAAAAAACAATGACTTAAGTTGAACTTTAAAAGAATAAAAAATAAACAAATTAGAAAACCTAAAAGGGGGGGCAAAAGAAGAAATCTTGAAAATTAGAGGAGAAATAGAGAAATTTGAACATAAAAAGGAAATAGAACTGGTTTTAAAAAATGAAGAACTGTTGTTGTTGTTGTTGCTGTTGCTACTGCTGTTTTTGAGGAAACTATGAAACCTGATCAATCTGGTCAAGAAAAGGAAAATCAAATTTAAAAAAAATGACCATGGTGAATTCACAACAGAGGAAAAATAATTATAAAAAACTATCACTATGTCAAATTATATACCAGAAAAAATGAAAATTTAAACAAAATTGATGAGTATCTACACAATACAAAATTCTCAAGGTCACAAAATAAGAAATGCAGATCTTAAATAACTCAATGTCAGAAAAAGAAATCAAGTCATAAATTAATTGCAAAAAAAAAAAATCTAAAGGCCAGATGAATTTATAAGTGAGTGCAACCAAACATTTTAAAAACAATCAATTACTGTCTTTTTTAAAATTAAAAAAGAGTCAGAAAGCATTCCACCAAAAAGCTATTTGGGGAACAAATATGGTTCTGATTCACAACAAGGGAGACACAAAGAAGGGAAAGAAAGTTTCATCCATCTCACGAACAAATACTGATTTAAAAATTTAAATATAATCCTTGCAAGGAAGTATATATGTGTGTGTGTGTGTGTATATATATATATATATATATATACACACACACACACACATATATATACATACATGCATATTATGTATATATATACATACATATATACACACATACCCACATATGTGTGTATATATATACACATGCAGAAAATAATTCACTATGATCAAGTTAGGTTCATTCTGTGGATTCAAGGATGTTTCAATATTATGAAAGCAATTAGCATGATTAATTATATAAACAACAAAGATAACAAAGCCACATGATGAAAGTAGAGAAAAGCATTTGAAATAATATAGCACTTATCAATATTAAAATCACAGTCATGGAAGTGCCCCCTCCTTTAATATTTTGAAAAGCTTATATTTAAAACCAAGAGCTAGCATTGTTTGCAATAGAGAAACTCTAGAACCTTTCTCAGTAAAGACAGGGTTGTAAAGTAGGAACATTTCTTCTTCCTAGTTTTATCTGACATTCTAGAAAAAGTCTATAGCAATAAGACAAGAAAAAAACATAAACATTTGCAAAGAAGAGACAAAAACTCTCTCCTATTTGCAGATGACATGGTGTAGTTAAAAATCCATAGAGAATCAATGAAGAAAGTAAGACAGTTAAGGCTATAAGGTTACTAATAAAAAAATAAATCCACAAAAATCATCAGTATTTCTCTATGGTACGAACAAAAACACAGGAAAAAATTATAATAGGAGAAACATCATTCAAAATAATTTAAAAATTCATAAAATATCTAGGATTTAGTCTGCCAAAATACACAAGTTAAATAAATACAACTACAATACACTCCTTCCAGAAATAGAAGAAGACAAGTAAATGGAGAGATACCTACTGTTCATTGTTGGGCCTTGCCAATATAATAAAAATGATA